AAGAGTGTGCTTCTTAGTTCAAGCAGATACACGAGACTAAATGGGTGGCTCCTGTTTGGAGGCAGGATGAGAAGGCAGAAAGGGACAGGAGCTGGTTGTATGGACACGGGAAACCTGGGGTAGAAAGGGAGAGTGTGCTGTTACTTTATAGGGATTGCAACTAGTGTCACATAACAATATGTGTCTAAATTTTTGTATGAGAAATTGACTTGAGCTTTAAACTTTCACCTAAAGCACAATTAAAAAAAAAAAAAAGCTGCACATGCAGCAAAGGGAAGGTGACTGTGATGAAGAATTCGTTGGGAGTAGAGATTCTTTCAATCATTCAAAGAGAGAGCAAATTTACATAAATTAAAGGGCAAGTACAAGTTGTTGAAAGTTGGTTACCCAGGACTGCCTGTAAACAGAACTACAGAGAAAGAAGACTGGAAGAAAATACATCCTAATGTAAGAGGAGTAATCTCTGGTTAGTAGGGCTAGGGATAAAGTTTTTTCTGTATACTTTTCATGACTTCCCAAGTTATTTTATAACAATAAAGTTGTTAACCATTAAAAAAGTTACATTTTGTAAAAACAAAAACATAAATTTATTGTACTTACTATTTAAATCGCTGCCTTCTGAAGTTCCATCAAAGGCAGAACAATTCAAATCAAATGTATACCGTCCTAGGAAACAATGCTGTACCATCTGATTCAAATGTTCATAAAAATGACAATGGTATAAAAGGGCCTGAAGGGCAGGTTTTCCTACAAGTGACACGCCAGAGTCCTCGTCATGGACACAGGGGCCCTGTAGGAAAAGAGGGAGAGAAATAGAGATGGACACTGATTCTTGACATAATTTCTCATAAAAGACCCACATCTGTCTACATTCCCCCAAAACAAAACTAACAAATCCCAGAAACAATGAGTCCTACATACCACCATGCCCCTTTAACTCCGCCTCTGTCCTGCTACAGTTACAAGCAGCCTGACCTATGGCAAACTATTTTTTAATACTCTCAGTCTTTGCTGCCTAAAAACCCCCTGAAGGTAGAAGGCTAATCTATTCTATCTCGAGGAGCCATATAGTTTAAAATGTTTCTATGAAACGGTACAGCTTTAACCAAGTAATTATATTCTTCAGCCACAAGTACAATAAAAAGCATTGTTTTTCAAACTACACAGAAGAGTAAAAGGATAAGCACAAAAATAATTTGAAATACTGTGGTCCAAGCAATTATGTTCAAAATTATTTTCTGTACCTATCAGTGAGCTCATCAATATCCATGGTAAAATCTGATTGTCACTTTACTTCCCATTGGATTAAACTTGCCAAAGGAGAAAAAAATATACAGACACACATCAGAGAAAACTAAAAGACAGGAAATAATGCCAACAAGAAAAGACAGAATAAGTGCCAACAAGAAAGGTATGTTCAAAAATATATTCAAAGTTTACCTTGAACTCTGAAATTTATGTGTCCCTACTCTCAACTCTCCCTATCACCAAACGAATATGGATATCAAAACTTTATATTCAGGACTATAAAGTAATTCACAAGTAAGAAGTAAAATTACATTAACAAGAGTATTTCCATTAACACTTGTTTTTGAAGATATTACCATAATTAAACCTCTTACTTCAATATTAAACATTTTAGTTGTTTAATAGTTTTTGTTGTTGCTGCTGTGTTCTAATAAATCTACCCAACACTGTAAGCTTGTGCTTCATAAACCAATTTACTTTAGAAATAAGACTATTTAGTGAACAGCCACCACATGAAGGTCGTTGTTACTTTAAATTTAGAGGTCTACAAGAAGCAGGTAAAACAGGGGGGAGTACCAGGAGAACAGATCATATAGTTCTCATTTACTAAACATAGTATAGGTCTCCGGCACTATGGCTCTTTAATGCATTACCTTATTTAATTTTTTAGGGTGAAGCAATTTATCCAAAACCACAGAGCCAATTCTAACATTATCTTTCACGCCACATATATCATTTTTAAATGTACAGAACATGTCAAACATACAAAGAGATTCACAGTAGTTGCTTAACATCACAAAGTAAAGGCCTCATTATAATAATTCAGGGAAGGAATTAACAACCAAGATGAGAATTATGAATGATTCAGCTAAGATTACTATCTTAACTCCAACTACCTAACACAACTCAATAAATCAATTTAAAAAATCATCAAAATATATTTTCCCAAATGTATTTCATAATGATGCCCAGAACAATTTTTAAATATTTAATTATACAGATTAGATAAAATTTTCAAAATTTTTATTTTTGCAAAATTGTGTCTATATAATTGCTTCCTGTGTGAGTTACAGCCACAGTGCTAAATTCACAAAGGTTTCACACAAATAAATAAAAGACATGAGCTTCGGCCTCATTTACCCTGAGACCAGAAGAACTAGATGGCGCCTGGCTACCACTACTGACCATTCTGATCAGGAACACAATAGATGGCCCCTGAAAGATCGGGAGAAAACGTGAATCAGAACTCACATTCTTAAAATGTCCAAACTTACTGGACCAGTTGAGACTAGAGGTATCCCTGAGACTACTGCCCTGAGATACTCTTTAAACCTTGAACAAAACTATTCCTTGAGGTTACCTTTTCACGAAATAAGCAACTGGCACACAAAATAAAGGATATTACCTGTGAGTAAGATGCTTCATTAACAAATCATCTATGTGAGACCAAAAAGTCAACAATACTCTAAAGCAAAGATGAGAAGATAAGGGGGCAGGGAAACTACTGCACTGGAAACAGAATAACCAGAATGTAATTAAAGAGAATGTAGCCACATTGTGAAAAACGTAACTAACGTCACTGAACAATTTGTGTAGAAACTGTCAAATGGGAACCTAATTTGCTGTGTAAACTTTCACCACAAAAACCATAAAATATTATTTTAAAAATAGGTGAAGGAATATAAACAGTATAAATCTTGTAAACAGAAAAAAAAAAGCATTTACAGCTCTTCAAGAGCTCCTATTCTGCAGATTCTTTATTCTGTAATGGCTTGCTGTGGCTGACGGTTACACGATCTGCTGGAAGAAAAGGTGTTATGAACAGACTATCTTTTAAAATGCATCTTTTTCTTCAGTTTTAAGTATTTTCAAAATAAATGAAAAATTAGAGACATAAGTATGATAGAATTCTAGCAATTATTTTACAAGTATGTATAATTATCAGTGATGAATCCAATTAACCCAATCACATTTACCCTTAAATTAATAATTTTTTATGCATTTAAATTTTTTTCTCTAGCTCTTCTGAATATAAAAAATTAGAAAATACAGATACTAAAAGACAATGAGATATAACTTTATAATTACATCTACTTAAAAAAGTTTTAGAATAAGTTTTTTTTCTCTGCCTATAAGTATGGTAAAAGTTATTCAGCCTATAAAGATTTAAGAAGCTAAACTAATTCTGGTATGAACAAGAGAATAATTTCACTAATTCAACATCTATTCTTACAATTAAAAAAATGTACTGGAAAATAGGTTGGTAAATACAGGTAAAATTATTCTTCATATGGTGCAAATATTTTATAAGTAATCCACGTTTTTAAAACCTGAGGCTGGCTTTCCTTTGCACTCAATATCTTCTTCAGTATGTATGATTATACATACTTAAATGAGTATGTATACCCAGAATGTCAACTTTAATAACTGTTTAAGCAAAAACCATTTGTAATAAAAACATTCAGGCAGAAAAATACAGTAAGACCTCAGTAATACAAAGGAGAAAGACAATCTAATTTTGCCATTCTACGTTAGTGTTAGCAAAAACGAAGGAAACCCTTAATGAGATAGATTGACACAATGGCCACAACAATGGATTGACACATACCAACCAATAATCATGAATATGACACAGGACCGGGCAATGTTTTGCTCTTGTATACACAAGGTTGCCATGAGTCGGAGCCAACGTGATGGCAAGAACAACTAAACACAAGTTAATGTCATACAAAACACTCAATCGTGATTTGGACAGTTCACTATTCTACAATATCTCTACACTAAGCCATCTATGGATACTTCAAACATTTCACCACAGAATAATTTTCTGAAAAGAAATAAAAAACCTCAAGGAATAGTTGCCACAATGTACAGAATATGGAAAAGCATGGTCTACTTCAAAGCAAAGCTCAGTGAGCAGGCTGTGAATACTGGCAGTCCTCGTTTCCTCATGGGCAAGTCATTCTCCTCACTCCCATCTTGCCTCTGCCTGCCCTCTCCATCCCACTGAAACTGCTCTTCAGAAACACTCAAAGACCTCTATGACGAGAAAAGTTGCTGGTCTCCACCCACCTGCTCCCTCGGCAAGATGTGATGTGGCTGGCCCTCCCTCCTAGTCCAGTCATATGGCTTTAAAGATCACCTACAGGTAGTCCCCAACTTACAATGGGGTTCTGTTCCAATGAGTCTATTGTAAGGAGGTTCTGACATAAATCACCTTTTTTTTTCTTTTAGTTTTCATTATTGCCTGCAATACTGCAGTGTTTTGAGCAGTAAATCATAACACACTGAATATCTGTGAGTGAACATCTCAGAAGGATAACATCAGCAAATTATGCACTGCAACACTAAATGTAGGACATATTACTAATAATCAAATGTACAAAAAAAAGTTGTAAGTGCAGTTTGTCACAACCCACATACACCAAAAGTCAGGGACTACCTGTATATGTAAATGATTTCACATGAACGTTTTCAGTCTACATCTCTTCCCCTAGGTTCCAGCTTGCATGCCTACCTGTTCAATCCCGTCTTCCCTATATTGGTAAACATCAAGGCATTCTAATATGATGAAAAAGTTCATATTCAGTCCATAATGTTAAACTGTGATCATGACTCTTCTTAGCCTGTCTATGCTGAAAAGTCGTAAGTGATATACTTGCTCTGTCCTGGCACACACCCAAAGACTAGCTGTATTGGCCTGCTCCTTTCATTACAAGCCCTCTGAACACTCTAGTTGCCTTTGTTTGGTCTTGGTTTCACCATATCTTTTTTGGTGTACACCAAATCAAAGCTGCACATGATATTCTATCAGTGGACACACTTTATATAAATACAGGACAATATTTTCTGTATTAATACTGTCTTGAAGAAGCCCAGTATTCTCCTGGCCTGATCATAATGGCTCACTTTGCAGACAACACCAGGAAATACATCCCTTTTCTGGGGCATGCATGATCAACAACACCTAATCTTTTATTTTATGCAAAGTTTAAATATTTTTATCCCTCTATCAGTAATCTTGTATTTGAAAAAAATAAAGTTTACTCAACACTTTTTCAGCCCATACCAAAAAACTGTTTTAAAATTTAACAATTCTGTCATGATTCTTCCCTTTCTACAAGAATTACATAAATTATATTAAATTAGTACAGAAGTAATAAATGAAAGTATCACCAAATTTCCATTTCTTTTGGGGAAGGGGGTCGAAACTCCCTCTCTACCTTGCTTCCTTTCTTCTCTACCACAGGTCAAAATGTCATAAAGAACACCTAATCTCTCAAATATTTTTAACAGCAACTGCATATATATTTTTAAGTTGGTTACAAGGTAAATATTGTATGTCCCTTCTGCACTCTTTAAAAACTGTTTTTTTGCTCTAAAATATCACAATTTTAATGTACTTTAAATAAGGTAAAATAATTTACTAGTAACTTTTTTTTAAGAAATGAGTTTTGTTAGCTTCAATTCAATTCAGTAATTCAAGCTCAGCTGTCAAAACGATCCCAGTATATGCTGAAGAACTAGATATGAAAATAAATA